AAGAATTTAATGATAGTTAAGTAAACTGAATTGGGAGAAATTTCAAAATTATTAAGATGAAAATAATAAATTGTACCGTCATGTTGTAAAATTAAGAAGAATTTCAAAGAATTTCCAAAAGAATTCCAAAAGAATTTTAAAGGGATTTCATAAACAATAGAAGAATTTCAGAATTTTACGGGGGTAGAAAACAGGACGAAATTCGACATCAAAAGAATTGGATTTAGTAAGTTCCAAAATTTATTTCACGAATTTCTGAAATGAAATGGAATTTTGAAATTGAAAAACGAAAAGAATCAAGAAACTATAGGAATTTTCGTAACTTTTGAACAAGACTGCCGAAATTAATTCCAATCACAGCGTTGGGGGAGAAGAAGATGAAGATTAATCCTAACGAATTAGATTGAAATTCTGAGCGGCAGAATGGACGGCATTGCCAGACAAACACAAAGAAGGAAGATACATGTCACACGTAGTAGAAATTTTGGATGATGCGACCAATTAGGTGGGAGGGTGAAGGAGAGAAGGGGAGTTGGAGAGGAGATAAAAGAAGAGGAAAAAAATGAGATCTTTGAGGGAAATCAGAGAGAGGAAGGGAGGAGATTAGTAATAGGGAGATAGATTGACAGTACCTCGCTCCCGGTTGGCCGGGAGTAATCAAGGTCCTTCCTCCTGGTCGAGGAAGGTCTTCAATCAACCCCTAAAGGGTCTTCTCGATCGTTCCAACGGTGGAACGACGAGGCCGCCAGATCAAATGCGCACTGATGATGTGGACAACGACGACGATGTTGTTGATGATGATGATGATGATGATGATGATGATTATGATGATGATGATGATGATGAAGCTGGTGATGATGATGATAGCAATCACGAACCAGTTATCCGTGTGGTAAGTTTTCTGACACGTGTAGCTTGAAGTCCTGAAACGCTGCAGGATTGATAGACGAAGCTATTCGTACTGGAAATAAATCAAATGAGTTTTTGCCCTTTTTGCTCCAACGAGGTTGTTATTCTCGTTGAGCTCATCGTAGGACACCTGCGTTATCTTCTATCAGATGTGCCGCTCCAGTCGATGGCCCCGTCGTGCAACTGCACACGCGAGAAAGGTAGGTGGGTGGAGGGAGCGGCAGGGTGATGATGACTTAGCAGGGGATACAGGGTCGGGATTGGGGCGGGGATGTGGTCGGGAGCAGGCCGCAGAGAAGTACGGGGGGCGATAGAGTGGGGAAAAAAAAAAAAAAAAACACCACTCTTTAGTGGTCCGCCCCGTTCACCGTGAACGGCCGGTCACGTTCATGTGACCGGTTCCGGTCACGGTCACGGGTACGGCACTGGTGCTCGTTGTTTCTCTTTTACTCATCTTAGCTCGTGATGAATGCCTAATGACAGGGGTTGATGTTGTTGCGATGTCGAACGTATGATGCGATGTCACTTTGCGCAACGGGAATAGTTGGCGACTGTGAGATCACTGAATGATTAAAGGATTGGATGATGGTCTATGCATGTAGGGTGAGCTCTCACTTTCGCACAAGAATCAGCCAATAGGCCTGTATACGACGAAGCACCTCGTGTGCACACGTGTAAGCGCGATCTGATCAGCGCGGCCTACACGTGTCCACACGCGGGCGATTCGCGAACACAAACGAACGCGACTACGAGGATTTAAGCAGATAGGAATTCCCGCCACCATACCCGGAAATTTCCTTGCCCATCAAAGCGCAATCAACAACGTACGTCGGAATGATAAGATGTCGCACACCGCGGACCAGGAATACTTAGAGCACTGGGAGGGAGGATATTTTAGGCGGAGATACCTGAAATTTCCCTGTCTAACTCAGAACCGACTGTGCGCCAAGGAGTTTTACTGTGCCGTAACCAGCGACCCGAGGTGCCATGATTACTCAACTACGTATAACACGCAATACTTCATATCCCCCGACTTCGTCGTTATCGCTACCGATTTTCCTCCCTTCCACATCCTCCTCCCATACCACGAGCTCGCGGTGGTTCTGTAGAACTCCATAGCCCCGTATTGGCCCCACACGACGTGCAGAAATTGCAGACGACGCGGCAACCACCGAGCCTCTAGAATTACGAAGCCTAACCATAACGCGCGATGACAAACGCCACGCGTCCGCACCTGAAGGTCCGACCCATAGAAATCCCAACCACTACGAACGGGCCTCTCTCGAACCGCCGCCACTAAACGGACAGATCAGACGAGCCAGGATGCACCACGCATACCATCTGCCTTATGTTGCACGACATCGACCACCATCCGACTGAAAGGAAACCGTCCACTAGCCTTATTGCACCTATGCCTCTGAAACCTTGCCACAGGAGGTCTCAGTTCTAACCTGGGACTCCACCCTCACTTTCCCAAAAATCCTTGGCACACCCCTTCGCGCACTTCCAAGCCCACATCTCACTCCGAACAGGAAGTCGCACCGGGCGTGAGGTTGGTATCGGAGCCGACACGTGGTAGGGTTATAGGATTCGTAGGTCGGTAACCAAGATCGAAGCGATCTGGCTAACAGGGGACGACCTCGACCCCGGAACGCGCATCGATGCAACCCCGTCGTTACCAGAAGCCGATCTGCGGCTCGACGCGCGGTCAACATGAACGCTAATCAACAGAACCCGAAACCTCAACAAAACCCCAATCGGCAACTAAATCCTAACCAACCCGCACCACGAGCACAGTCCCATATGACCCCACCTGATCTCTATCTGTTCGATCCTGCTCATCACCTTGCTGGAGCATGGCTGGCCACGCTCCGAGCTCAGCAGTACGATGACAACGAGGCCCAAGTGAACATTCCCGCACGATTGGGAAGAGATGCTCACCATTGGTTCAACAGCTATGTATGGGTCGATCTCCCGACATTCGAGCGAGATTTCCTGAACCGGTTTGATTATATCCATCCCGAACAAACCCTTTTCATGATTAAAGATCGAGTTCAAACCCCCCCCGAATCTGTCACCGAGTACCGAAACCAATTCTACCGGATGATTGTGAAAACCGAACGGGGCAAACAGGTAGGGAGAGATTTGTTCATTGACGGACTTCGCAACAGAACGATGAGGGCGAAACTGGGAAAACAAGTCTCCCCCATCTATCATACGTTGCAACAGATCATGGCGGCCACAGAAGAAATGGAACGAAAGTTCACCGCGAGTTTCCTAAAAGGAGAAGATTATCCTAGGGAAAGAGACTCATCCAAACTAGCGAGAGGCCTATGTTGCACAGCCGGCCGCGGCCGGGGGGTCCGAGTCGGCCGCGGCCTAGGCCGATGACCGAATCGGCCCGGTTCGGCCTAGGCCGACCAGCCGAGTTCGGTGCAGCATTTTTTTCCCCATTTTTTACGCGTAAAAAAATATATATATATATATGGGCGTGTAGGGCTGGAAAAGCCCTACACGCCCATTTTTTTTTTTTGGG